GCAGATATGTACATCAGGATTCATAACAATAGCAAAATTGCAGTTATAAAGGAGCAACAAAGATAATTTTATGGCTGGAGTCACCACAACATGAAGAACTGTGTTAAAGGGTCCCAGCATCAGGAAGACTGAGACCCTTCTTCATTCTGTTGTAGGACATAGCAGCTACCTCAATGCTTCCTGCCAGGGATGATCTCTTTATGATGTGACTGTGGCATTCATCTAGTGGAAGAAGTCTGTGTGAAGTCAGGCAAGCTTGTGGTAACAACAGACAGACATTCTGTGACTTCTCAGGACAGAGCATAAAAGGCAACAAAGTTTCTATCTCTGGAGATCTTGGAGCCCAGCCGCCATGCTGGGAGGAAGCGCGGGCAGTCAGAAGGAACCAAGGTCCTGGCCCTCGGAGCTCTCTATGCTTGAGCTACAGAGCAAGACCCTGTCCAAAACAAACAAAGTACAGTAAAGCAGGTCCCCATTCAAGGCTTGGAACCCGAGCTAGTTGAAGGAAAGTGTCTCCTACCACTGGAGCCAGGTACTGGCTCTTCCCTTCCAGCCCTGGCCGTCTTACTGCGGAGCTGAGGTTCATCTACTCTCTGTCCCTCTTTCCTGGGCTTGAGAACTGGGCTAGAAGAGAGAGTCCTCTAAGAGACCATTAAGTCCCATTTATTACTGAAGGTGGAAAACGCTACGCAGCTGTGACCCTGGCACACTGAATATTTTGAGTCCAAAATGATTGAGGAGTAGATTCAAGGAAAGCTTTCTGTTCTCCTTCAATTGCCTGAAACAGTGTATAACTTCACACAGCTCTGGGGATCGCTGTTCTGGATGTCAGCTTCACTATATCCGGAATGAACTAGCACCCAGAAATGGAGGGCACACCTGTGAGAGATATTCTGCTTGGTTTGAAGGGGTGAACCCACTTCTGGTCTAGACCTTTGAGGTAGGAAGGCACACCTCTGATGTCAATCTTGAGGAGGGAAGACACAAGCCTTTAATTAGGTCCCACCTTCTGCTGGTAGCCTCCACAAGGACATGGAAGAAGGAAGCCTGCTTGCCCTCATCTTGCTAGCGCGGCTCTTCCATCACTGGCATTGGTGCTGACTTTTTTGGGATTCCGGCATCCACTGAGATCAGCACAGACACCCAGCCTCGTGGGACTGAGCAACTACTAGATTCTTGGGCTTTCTGTTTACAGTGAGCCATTGGCCTGCAGCCTGTGAGCCTGTCCTTTCCCATTTTTATGTATAATTTCACACAGCCATCCCTTCCCATCCTTACGCCAGGGGAGAGAGACACTAAGGCAGTGAGACCTTCATTATCCTGGAAGGCATCAGAGAAATCTTTATAATGACCTTCCTTTATCTATTGGGTTACATACATATACATATGTGTATATGTATGCGTGTATGTGTATGCATATTACATACATACACATACACACACACAACCCTCTGAGTCCACTCTTGTTACTTGTGTTACTAGTTTTAAGACTGGGCACTCTGTTGAACAACCAATGGCAGAGCTCATCCCTGGGAGAGATGAATTCTCCTCCCAGCAGTCAACAGTGGCCTGTAGTTCTTTATCTAGGGGTTGCACCTTGCAAAATCCCCTTCTTCCACACTGACTGGTCCCTGGATACTGCCGTTGTCTCAGTCTTGCTCATGCAGCATTTCAAGGGGAGAGTGATTCACCGCAGACGGCAGGGTTTTCTGGTTCTCAGGATCTTTCTGCCCCTACTTCTGAGATGCTCCTTGAGATACAGATGCAGGAACCTGTGGTGTGGATGTATCTGTCGGGGCTGGACTCTCCACAATCTGTAGATCTCTGCATGTGTCCAGTTGTGGTTTCCCGTGTGTGCAGTTGTGTTTTCCCGTGTATGCAGTTGTGGTTTCCCGTGCTATCTCTGTTTGCTGTGAAGAGAGACTCCTTTGATGAGTGTGGGAGCTTCACATCCAGCAAAGGTGGCTGTGCACAAAGAACAAGATCTATTGCTTTTTATTTTATGCATATGAGTGTTTCTGCTAATATTGATGTCTGTGCTCCATGTGTGTGCACTGCCCTCGGAGGCCAGAAGACTTTAGATGACCTAGAATCATAGTTACAGGTGGTTGTGAGCCACCATGTGGGTGCTGGGAACAGGTCATAGACAGCCAAGTGTCCTGACTGCTGAGCCATCTCTCCAGCCCCAACCCAGAATTTTGAAGAGTGATGATTCTCTTCCTCCCACATTTTACTTATTGCTAAGCAGTATTGCACCTCCATATTAGCCACAAATAGTAAAGGACCGGTGCATCCTGGGAAGTAGCTGCACAAAAAAGAATGCTTTCTTGTTTTTTCCCAAGGGTTGACGGCTGTAAGGAGAGGGCGAGTGACTTCATGTGCATGAAATAGACTGTATTTACTTCGTGCAGTTAGCTCTGTAGGGTTTGAGTGGGATGTAAAATGCCACAGAACGGCTGATTATACGGTGGTTAGAAAGAAGTAAAAACAAAGCCAGACTAACCTCGATTCCAGGAGCTTGTGAGCATTAATCTACCGTCTCACCATAGCCGAGTGTGTCCTCGTGGCTACTCTAGTTCCTGAGGGCAGCGCTCCCCCTCTCTCTCACCATCTGGTTGACAGCCCTGTGAACCTGCCCTCATGGAGAGAATCAACTTGGATCTCTCTCCTCTTGTCTTTTTTTTTTTTTTGAGACAGTGTCTCACTGTCTCACTATGTAGACCAATCACGACACTCACAGAGATCCACAGGCCTCTGCTTCCTGAGTGCTGGGTTAAAGGCGTGTATGTACCACCACATTCCTCTTCTCTCTGCATGTTGAGAGTGAGCACGTGCTGTGGTGTGGAGGCCAGGGAACAGCGTGCAGCAATTCTCCCCTCCTACTGTGTAGGTGCTAGGAATCAAATTCCGGTCATCAGGCTTGGTGCTAAGTGTGTTTACCTGCAGAACCATCTGTCCAGCTAACCATAGCTTCTCCGTAGAGACTCTCCAAACAAAAAGTGTCTTGATGAACAAGACAGAAACTGCTCAAGTTAAAAAGTCTTTGGCTTTTTTATCTTTCTTTTGTTGGCTCTTGTCAGTAGATGCCAAACTTGCATTCTGGTTTCCCTCCTTCGGGAGACCAAAGGTTCTTGCATCCACAGGCATTCAGGGAAACCATAAATGTTAGTCATGATTTTTTTTTTTTCTCAAAGGAGGAATACCCATTCTTCATTCAGAAGACTGGGAATTGGAGGTGATTAACAGCCTGGTGATCTCAGTTATCTGTTAGGCCAGGCCATAGCAAGGTCCTACAACCAGGACCAGAGGTGGCTAGTAATCTAAATGACCCTTACAGCCAGAGGCTCCCCCAAGCTCTCACAACCAGGACCGGAGGAAGTGGCTAACAGCCCAAATGACCTCCATGCTATCTGTGTGACCGAGACCAGGCCAGATCCTTCTTTAGGCCCTTGAGCTAACCTATCTCCAGAACACATCTTCTTGGAAGAAATGACATGTATGTTGAATTGAGTTTCCATGTAATTATGCTTTTTGTGTGGACAGGGGATTGTATTAACCGGGAAACTCCACCCCACCCCCAAACTGTACTGTGTTTTAACTCTGCTGGCAATGAACCGCCTGGCATCAGACTCCCCCAGTCTGATTTTCATTCTCACTTCTTCACAGTTTGCTCCCCTCCCTGGACACCTGCAGGGTCCCCCTTGTTGTGTCCCCCCCATTAAAAATGTTGTCCTTTGTCCCTTTGGTAAACTATAAATCACTGTTTAAACAAAGCGTTTGAGAAAGTGATAAATATAGAAGGTAAAATCAACAATTAAAAGTAGGATTGGTGCCTGGGGCAAGAAGTCAGGCCGGCCAGACACATGAAGCAGTGAAAGTAAGATATACAGAGGGAAGAAAAAGTAAAAAGTCCTGAGGCAAAAGGCGGATAAAGAGAAGCAGGTTAATTTAAGTGAAAAGAACAAGCCAGAGAGTGTAAGCTAGGCCCAGCATTCAAAACTAAACAACAACAACAAAAAATGTAGAGTTGGTATGTAGCTCAGCGATAGAGGACTTGTTTAGCATCCACGAGGCCCTAGCTTCACCACCCCCCCGCCAGTAGCCAAAAAGGATAATTAGAAAGAACATATCAGCGTCAGGTAGCGGTGGCACACACCTTTAATCCCAGCACTAGGAAGGCAGAGGCAAGCGGATCTCCGAGTTCAAGACCAGCCCGGTCTATAGAATGAGTTCCAGTACAGTCAGGGCTACACAGAGAAACTCTGTTTCAAAGAGAGAGCTCTGTTTCAAAGAGAGAGAGAGAGAGAGAGAGAGAGAGAGAGAGAGAGAGAGAACCCGCCCCGCTAGGGGTGCTGTGAGGATGAGGATGGCTCAGTGGTTAAGAGGACTTCCTGAGAAGCCCTTTGAGATGAGGACTGGAGTTCAGAGGCCAGCACCCTCCTTGAACGGCTCATAAATGCCGGGAACTCTAGCTCCAAAGGACTCAGCAGCCCCCTGTGGCCTTCACGGACACCTGCTCACATGTGCATGCACAGAAATAAAATGAATACACCTTTGGAAATGTAAACCACCACTTCTTCAGCGGTGTGCCCCTGGTAAGCTTCTCACGCCCCGGTAAAAATCCTCTCGCCTCTGCTTGTGCAAACGACCTTAGTTAAACACGGCGGCACACACACACACGCACACACGCACACACACACACACACACACACACACGCACACACACACACACGCCAGGAAGTAAGGGGGAGACGGTGGGAGGAAGGAGAGTTTCTGTGGGAGAGGAAAGGGATGAGAGCGAAACTGGGGATGGAACAGCTAAAGTTCACGCTACACGTGTCTGAACCGCGCCAGTCTTCCCCTTGATCACCCTGCCGGGAAAGAGGCCCCCTGTTCCTTTGTGGCAAAGCAGCGCACACGCTTGGCATCCTGGTTTATTCCTGTGGCTGTGATAAAATAACCCTAAACAAAACAAACAGCAAAACTAAACCAGCAACAACCCAGGGAAGAAAGGCGTTTATTTTAGCTTAGGATTCCAGGTTACAGTTCAGTACTTTGGCAAAGCCAAGGCAGGAACACCAAACAGCTAGTTACAAACACAGCCACGGTCGAGAGCAGAGAGAAATGGATGCACGCAGGCTGCTCTGTCTCCTGTTGGCTTGTGTTCAGCTTGATTTCTTCACTCCTGTATTGTCCAGGATCCCCTGCTTATGGTGCCACCTACAGTGGATAGGACAATTCCCCAAGACATGTGCACAGGCCAACCTGCTGTGGACAATCCCTCACTGAGACTCTGGCTTGTAATAAGTTGACAATTGAAGTTGACCACCACACTTGGGAGCGTGTGGCTATTCCTAGATGTGTTTATAAAATGCCTCCATGCTGCCCTGTGTGTCTGAGCTGGGTCCATATTTTGGAGCTTCATTCATTTGCTTTCTGCCTTTTGGACCAGAGGTTGTTGGTAACATTCTGTTACTCTTTGCTTGAAACAGCTTTGTTACAGTTGAAGTTTTGTTTGTTTGTTTTTCAAGATATGGTTTCTCTGTGTAGTCCTGGCTGTCCTGGAACTCACTCTGTAGACCATGCTGGCCTCCAACTCACAGAGATGCCCCTGCTTCTGCCTCCCAAGTTCTGGGATTAAAAGCATGCTCCCTCACTGCCCAGCTTCAGCTGAAATTTAGTATGATGTGCTGGAAGATATTTGAGATTGCCTTTTCATTTTGGGAGTCCTGAAGCTTGACCATGAAGCTCCCCATGGTAGGTTCCTATCTGTCTTTTCTGCTCCCTTTGGGCATGGGATGGGGTGTTCCAGTTGGATATTGTATCTTGGAATGAATCCAGCCTTCCACTTCAAGCATGAATGGGCCATCGTGGATCCCCTAGATATTTCTGCAAAATCAACAGTAAAATTGAGAAGAACGGACTTGGGCAGAGAATGGAGACAAGCATTCAGGGAACCGAAAGTCTGAAAGTGCTGACCAGCGACTCCAAATCTGTGGCCTCTGAAACCTCAGGGAGTCCAGGTGGCCGGCCAGCAGTCACTCTCCGCTTCCTGTTGCCTTCCCCCTGCTCTCATTCACGTGCTGGCTCCACTTCTTACCTCTGTTTTCAGACCTCCAGGAAACCTTCCCCACCGCACTGCAAGCAATCACCTCCGTTGGTACTTCTAGAGAGCTGGAAGATGGTCTCCATGAGGCCCCACTCCTCTCTGGTACCCAGACGCGGACTACTTCCCATCACCGCGGAGCAATCAGCTCTACTTTTAGCTTAGCTGTGGTCTGCTCCTCATGCTCCGCCTCAGGTCCCTCCACCCCTCCTGAAGGACGTGGCTGCTGTGTCTCCTGAGCCACAATTTGTCCCCCTCTACGCAAACATGCAAACTAACATACTCCTAACAAACCTACCAGGCTGTGTGTGGTGGTGTCCACCTATAATCCCAGCACTCTGAGGAACTGATGAAGGAGAATGTCCCCAAGGGCACACTCCTACTTTGGGCATCAAAAGTCCTCTGAGGAAATCCTCAGCCCTGGGAAAACCAGGATGGCTGCCATCTTTCTTCTGTGGCCTCTGCTTCTCCTTCCCGTTGCTTCTCACTGGCTGCTCTCAACGTAGTGAGGGTAACCTTTTCATAGATTCATTCTCCCCTCAAACTCTTCCGTGGCATCCTGCCTTACGCAGAGAGAGAGCTGACACTGACCGGGTCAGTGGCCTACAGACTACAGGACCTGCAGACTCACAGGCAAAGGGAAGGGGTTCAATTTGAGTAGACTGGACATTGACATATTTGTGGAACATTCAACTGGCAACATCCAGAACCAAAAGGAGGATCAAGATCATATTCTGGGGTGGGGAGAGATCTTATTGTGTGTAAAACAAGGACAGTTACCCATGGGACGAATTCTAGGAAATTAGAGGAGGGAGGGGTGGCCCAGTTGATAGCGATCTTACCTAGCACCCAGGAAGCTATGAACTCAGCCCCCACTGCCATAGAAGCCCAAATGGAAGCGTATATCTAGAATCCTAGCATTCCACATTAGCTTCGTATTTGTTGAGTCATGTCTTTTTTGTGTGTTATTCTTTTATTGATTGTAATTCTGTTAAGGATATACGTCAAGCATACAAGGGTTGTTCATGCCTCCTATTGGCCTCAGGATAGGAAAGCCAGGAACTGAGGACACCCTCCACCTTCTGAGAGCCCAGTAATCGTTCACCTTCTATGGGACACAGCTCTGCGACTCCACCTTAGTAAGAGTCTCTGTCCCTCACTGTCGGTCACAGTGCCGTTGCAAGGTCCAAACAGGGCTAGGAGTCTTCTTGTCTCAGACTACAGACTGGCTTATCCTGGGTCAGGATGCTAATTCCGGCCAAGAAAAGGGGTGAAGTTACAAAACACTTCTGGGGTGAGGAGGACTTGGGAGAGGATGGAGCAGTTTCTTAATTTTTAAAAATGATTTTATAATTTTATGTGTATGGCTGTTTTGCCTGCATGTGTGTATGTGCACCACGTGCATGCCTGGTGCCCAATGAGGTCAGAAGAGGGTGTTGGATCCCCTGGAACTGGAGTTACAGACAATTGTGAGCTGCCATGTTGGTGCTGGGGAATTGAACTCAGACCTTTTTTTAGGAGCAGGCAGTGTTCTTAAACCCTGAACCATCTCGTTGGCCCCTGACATAGTTTCCTGATTAAGGTGTCAGTCACATGGAAGACACTGAGCACACCGTCTAACCCTAACAGCCTTCTAGAGCTGTATGTCACATTTCCATAGAACCGTGTGAATGTGTGTGTGTGCACCGTGTGTCTGGTCATACGTACCATGGTACATGTGTGGGGGTCAGAGGACAACTTACAGGAGCCAGTTCTCCAGCCATGTGGGTCCCAGAGATTGAATTCAAATTGTGAGGCTTGGAGGTGTCAGCACCTGAGCCTGCTGACCACCTTGCAGGACCCAAGAGCAGTTGTTTGTTTGTTTTTTTAATGTTTTATTTATTTTTCATTTTATGTGCACTGGTGTTTTACTTACATGTATGTCTGTGTGAGGGCATAGGGCACCTCAGAACTGGAGTCACAGAGAGTTGTGAGCTGCCATGTGAGTGCTGGGAATTGAACCCGGGTCCTCTAGAAGAGCGGCCAGTGCTCTTACTGCCATCTCTCCAGCCCCCACCCAAGAGCAGTCTTGTTCTGTTTTTTGTAATACAGGGTCTCTCTGTGTAACAGCCCTGGCTGTCCTGGAACTCTCTCTGTAGTCGAGGCTGACCTCAAACTCACAGAGATCCACCTGTCTCTGCCTACCTAGTGCTGGGATTAAAGGTGACACCACTACCAATGGGTGCCAAGAGCAGTTTTTAATGGATTGAAATGGGGACATTTGGTAAGGGTTTTATGAATGTGAAATTAAGGATCCCTTTGGTTCACGGGTCGGTTTGGGGGACATTGATCCAGTTCACCACATTTCCCTCCTTCCTTCCTTCACTCCTTTTCTCCTTTACTTTTCCTTTCTTCTCTGTCCTTTCTTCCTCTCCCTCCTTTCCCCATCTCCTCTTTTTAGGTAGGGTCACACCATGTAGCCCATATTGGTCTGGAACTTACTATGTGGTCCAGACCAGCCTTAGACATGTGTCAATTCTCCTGAGTTTTGAGATTACAGGTGAATGATACTCTATTTGGCTCACTCTCCTTCCTGCCTTCTTTCCTCTCTCTCTCTCTCTCTCTCTCTCTCTCTCTCTCTCTCTCTCTCTCCCTCCCTCCCTCCCTCCCTCCTCAGAGATGGCAAGGCACATTGCCTTGAGGAAAGTTCAAGACCCTCCCTACTGCATCTAGGCTGAGCAAGGTATTCTCCATCCAAAGAGAACAGGTTCCAAAGTTTTATCTGTGTAGCTGCTTCTTCTCAGTTTATGTCCAGGGAAGAACGCATGAATGATTACAATGCAATTGCAGTGAGGTGCCACACCCAGCCACTGGGGTCTTGACCGTGAAGCAGAGACCCAGCAAAGCCCACCTGTGACCAGCAGTTTATGGATAAGGGACATTGATTGACAGCAGCAGTTTGTGAATAAGGGACAATTGAATGGGAGCAACAATTTATGGATAAGGGACATTAAAGTGAGGGATGAATGATCTTTGCATGAAAAAAAAATCTCCTTTTTTACTTTTCGTTTTTTTGAGACAGGGTCTCACTATGTAGCCCAGCTTGGCCTGGAACTCACAACCCTCTCCCTGCCTCTGCCTCCCAATTGTTGGCATTTATGTTCAGACAGGACGTGATTTCCTCCATGAATAAACAGAGGCCCCGAGAGGACAAAGGACAACTCTCTATCTACAGGGCAGAGCTGGGATTAGACCCTGGGTTGTCAGGGTGAGGCCATCAAGATAAACATTTTCAGGAGATGCACTCTGGGCCACACAGGTACCCTCAGCATCCTGACTCTCTCTTGGCCCAGTCCAGAGAAAACACTGCTCTCACCAGAAGGGAGAGATTATTCCAGTTTGTAGGTTCAGGATAGGGAGGCCCGACGGAGAGCTCCCCCATTTGGCTGCCTCAGGGAGAAGCAAGGTTCTAGGGAAGGCTGAATATTTGCTTTCCCCAAGGTGAGGGACTGGCAGCCTGAAGTACCTTGAGTCATCATCCTGTCTGCTAAACTCAGGCTCCCTCGGCTAGATCCGGGCTTGCTAGCTGGTTATCTTCAGCTGGTTGCTGATGGTTGCAGCATTTCTGAGCCTTGCAATGGATACTTCCCGATTCCCCTCACACAAATAGGTTAGTCTGTCTAGTTGGCGCTAGTCTTGCATAGATAGCACATGTAGGGTTCCTCTTTTTCTAGTTCCCCAGGCTGGTGTCTGCTTCATGGAAAATTGCTTGCTAAGAACTTTGCCACAGGGGAAGCTTAAGAGACAGCAATAGCTTAAAAATAAACCTCCAAAGATGGCCGGTGGCTCTGGGCATGTGTGTGTGTTTCCCATCTCTTCAGTGCCAGTATTTTAGAGGTGGAGGCGGGAGGGCATGGATGGAAATGTCTTAGCCAGGGTTCCTAGTGCTGTGATGAAACACCATGACCAAAAGCAACTTGGGGAGGACAGGGTTTGTGTGGTTCACAGCTTCACACAGTTCATCTTCAAAAGCAGTGAGGGCAGAACCTGGAGGTCGGAGCTGTGGTGGAGGCCATGGAGGATGCTGATTACTGGCTTGCTTCCCAGTGTTTTTTCATGACGGCTGCTTTATGATAGTAGGGTTTATTCTAACAGCGCAGGGCTGTAAACTGGCCACCGTCCTCTCTGCTTCAGACCTTGCTGGTCCTTGGTGTGATGAGTGAGTTTCCGTTAGAACTTGGATATTGGCTATTTCGGTCTGAGCCTCTGACCTCACCCCGACCTTCTGTTTCAGCTGGCGTCTGGGGCTGCGTGGCAAGTGCCTTTAATTCCAGTACTCAGGAGGCAGAGATAGGCGGAGGATTTCAGAGTTCAAGGCCAGCCTGGTCTACAGAGTGAGTTCCAGGATAGTCAAGGCTGGCTACACAGAGAAACCCAAAAACCAAAACCAAACCAAACCAAAACACAAAAGCAGAGAAAGAATCAGCTGATGTCTGTTGGCAGCAACCTGAAAGCAGCGGGGGAGGGGTTGGGGGGGTGACTGCTCATTACAGGGGTGAAGGCAAAAGTCCAGTTTCCCTCTTGGACTTTGCTGATACCTGGGGCTGGGAACCTCTTTATTATTGCGCAGATGTTGGACTCCCATCAGATCTTCACTGGCTCCTTGGCAGGAAGCAGTAGATCCTCTTACAGCTCTGAAAGCTGTCTGCCTGGCGAGGGAGTCCCTTTCCTGGTCCTGGGGCTAGAGACAATCATTTCCATCCTTCCTTCCTTTCTTCCTTTTCTCCTTCCTTCCTTTCTTCTTCCCTCCCTCCCTCTCTCCCTCCCTCCCTCCCTTTCTTTCTTCCTCCCTCCCTCCCTCCCTCCCTCTCTCCTTCCCTCCCTCCCTTCCTTTCTTCCATCTTCCCTCCCACCCTCCCTCTCTTCCTTCTTTTCTCCCTCTCTCTAGGTCAGAACAGTGACCCATAGCAGATGGGTGATGGGCCCATGAGAATCAATGGGGAAAAAATGGGAAAAGGCCAGGCTTGGTGGCACACACTTTTAATCCCAGCACTTGGGAGGCAGAGAGAAGTGGATCTCTATGAGTTCAAGTCCAGCCTGGTTCACATATTGAGTCTAATCAGAGCTAATCATGAGGCCCTGTCTCAAAAACAAAGGTCTGTTGAAAAGCTAGTCTTTAGAGGTACTGAGGACTGGCTCAGTAAATCTGACGGGCTTGGGTTTCTGCGGGTTAGCACTTCTGTGGAAGGGGGCTGTGCCAGGGAGGGGCACTACTTCCTGAGAAAGGCTACCAGTAAAAGG